ACAATGCTATAAAATTTTCTATTCATACGGTTTCTATTTTCGATCAAAATTTTCATCCCAATCACACGGAGAAAATGAAAAATGAAAATTTGCTTAAATATTAAAGCGATATTTACACGCGAACATAATAAAAATTACAATTGGACCCGAATTTGTAAAAATAAAATCCCAGCAGAAATAAATTTACTAGGTACTTTAGTTGATATTACAAATTTAATTGTAATAATTAAGAAACTTGAAATCATTTTTAAAAAACATGTCAAAATTGAGATTATTACAAGTTACTTAATAAATTCTATTATTTCTAAAGTAATTTACAATCGAAAATTGTAATTTTTGGGTTGTCATAAAAATTTAGTTTTCTTCGTGCATGAATTGCGTATAGCAAATAATAAATACGAAGAGATAATACACACATGCAATTACTTAAAATTAGATAAAAGAGTACTACAATAATAATCATTATTAAATGGTCTAAATCCTTTCGATTTTAGGTACCGTTTTAATCATGATATGTTTTGTAGTGTTGTCGGTTTCCGTGATTTGCTGCGGTAAATGTGATCAAAGTTAAAGGCGTTTGGTTGAGTTGATTTGGAGTACGTATCGCATGTTCCATTAATTACCTTGGTAATCTCTCTCTTGCCCAATTAGCACCGCTCTGGTGCCTACCATCCACGCCGCGGCTGCTTTTGAATCCCTGCACACCCAACCGAATAATGCCCAAAATAGAATTCGTTTAAACCAATAGAAACAAGAAATTAAGTTCCCTACCTCCAAAAAATTCACAGACGTCCTATACCGTATACCGTTCAAAATAAAATTTGTTCAAGTCAGTAGAAAAAAGAAATTAATTTTCCAAGTTTTATATTTAAAAAAAAACAGTATTTGCCAAAGGATTTATAAACACCCTGTAAGTAATACGCATAATGTTCTAAACAGATGGAAAAGGGAACTTTCCTAACCAATACTTCGAAAGTTACATATTAGACAAAAGTGTTGCCAAAGGATTCATAAAAAAAGAAATTAATTTTCAGTTTTATATTAAAAAAAACAGTATTTGTCAAAGGAGTTATAAACACCCTGTAAGTAATACGACTAATGTTCTAAACAGATGCAACAAGGAACTTTCCTAAATAATACTTGGAAAGTTACATATTAGACAAAAGTGTTGCAAAAGGATTTATATTAAAAAAAAAAACAGTATTTGTCAAAGGAGTTATAAACACCCTGTAAGTAATACGAATAATGTTCTAAACAGATGGAAAAAGGAACTTTCCTAACCAATACTTCGAAAGTTACATATTAGACAAAAGTGTTGCCAAAGGATTCATAAAATCCATTATGTGCACCTAATGATTTTTTCTGTGAATATGAAAATTGATTTGTTGATTATTTCTGTACACCGTGTATATGGATGGAAAGAAGGCGTCGACGGGAGACAGATATAGTAAAGAAGAAGCGACTGTTTAATTTACCGTTGGAAATTTTACGAAAAGGAGGAAAGAGGATGAACTGACGAAGTTCGTCTGCGACCGCAAAGCTATTGTTTCCTTCTACGGTTCTTGATGGAAATTTCCAGACACAATAGACCAGATAAGCCTGAGTTCTATAGAAAGGAAACTCTCTTTTTGTAGAGAAGAAAAGGTACGCACTTCCCTAATTTCTTGTGTTCTGATCATATTCTGGCGGAATGCTTAATTAACTTGTGCAATGTCGTCCTACAATATCAACTAAATTACTAAAATGATTTATTCATAATAAAACTTCGTCAACTTGTTCAATGATCTTGTTAAGCCCTCATTCCGTACCAAAATCTGTTTCATCTCCACTTACATATCTGTATATCATCTTCTTCATTCAACACCCTCCATCAACCTAATAGCGCACGTACAAATATTAAATAGGTACCTGTCTACCTTCAATCAACAAAAATAAAAACTAAATTTAAATCAGTCGAACATCAATCATATTTATTTCGACTTATAACCAAAATCGGTGCAGCTATCTCCTCTAAAAATACTAAACCCTGGTTATGGTTAGTAAGGTATGCTTGACTACCATGTTTAAACAGTTTAGGTATATTACAATAAGAAGCGCCACCACGATTAAAATATAGCTATGTAGGTAGCAATCCATTCAAATTTAGACAAATTAAATCATAGTAGGTTCTATAAAGAATTACATACGTTAAACTAACACCTAATTGTGAAGTTTTTATAGATAACTTGTAGGTAGATAATAATTACCTACATTTTATAGATAGGAATCCTGGGAGCGCCAATATTCCTTAGAGTCAGACCTGCCGCTATCCTTTTTTAAATTCAATTGTCCCCAAATTTCATTAAAACAATCAGTGTTCGTCAAATATACAATAACATCTAGTCAAGTTTTCGATTTAGCAATAATGCTTGCTATTAACACTTAGCTTTTTGTTGAGCCTTTTGGAGAAAGGGTATTTGTAGTATCTGATGCGTGTCTAATATACATCCGCGAGATTGTTTTCCTTGTAGGTATCTATGTACGATAAAGTTAGGGAAAAGGTTTAATATAAGCGGTGGTGGCGTCCCCTCGATTCAACTGAAGAGTTTTGATTTTAAATGCTGGATTAGCGTATTAACATTTATGCTAGATGTAAACTGAATGTGTGTAATGTGATGTATGTAACCACGTTAGTTGTGCGAACGCGTCATACCGTAACAATTGCCCATACGCTCCGGTGTATAGCAGCGGTACCAAAAATTTATTTTTTCTACACATCCACATAAAACTACACGTACGCTACAACTTAAATCTTCTTATGTAAATCTGAAGAAGTGGGGAATTACCGAAGCATTATAACGCCAGACTGGATAAAATTGTGTCCAAAAATATGTAACCTATTTTGTTCTTTCAATGTATAGAACAGGATGGATTGCAATATTAACGAATTATTTCTGGTGTGGAGTTGTAATGTTGGAATAAAGAGTTGCGTCAGGTTGATGGAACATTTTTGGGGTCGCTGATACATCACACCACTTGAGGAGTCAAAACGGCGTACACTAAACGCTACTTCGGTAAGCTTGAAATCCATTGAAACAGTCGCCAAATCCATATACCCGACACAAAGGCGGGATATAAACAAATGGTATCGTTATCAGTTCAGTAACGTCCCCGTTAAATCTAACATGGCTGAATTTTCAAAAGATTCTTTCCTTGGATCAACCAATGTAAAAAAATAAATAAAAACTGCAAAAGCCTGATTCTTACTTCGAGCAGTGGATGCTGGATATAAGTAATATTACGTACATATTTTTGACAATTTCAATGAATCGACCAAAGTAAAAGAAGAGGTATTAGGCATCTTATAATATGAGAAAAGAAGTGTATTATCAATTTGGAAGAATAAAGCTCAATGGAAAGATAAGTCTGCAACCAACCTATATCGATCGTAAAAGCTCAAAATAATAACTGCAAAATCCTCATCCTTACTTCAAGCAGTGGATACTGGATCTAAGTAATATTAAGTACATATTTTTGATAATTTTTCATGATTCAACAGAAGTAAAGGAAGTGGTATTGAGCATTTTACAATATGTGAAAGAGAAGTGTATTATCAATTTGGAAGAATAAAGCTCAACGGAAAGATAAGTCTGCAACCAACCTATATCGATCGTAAAAGCTCAAAATAATAACTGCAAAAGCGTTATCCTTACTTCAAGGAATGGATGCTGGATTTGAATACCTTTACGAAATTAGTTTTGATAATTTCCACAAATCGACCAAAGTCAAAGAAGAGGTATTCAGCATCTTTTAATATGTGAAAGAGAAGTTTATCATCAATTTGGAAATGAAAAACTCAGTGGAAAGAAAAGTCTACAACCAACACATAACGATGGTAAAAGCTCAAAACAATAACTGCAAAAGCCAGATCCTCACTGCAAGGAATGAATTTTGGATCTAAATACCTTTACGTACATCCTTTTGATAATTTCCATGAATCGACCGAAGTAAAAGAAGAGATATTGGGCGTCTTATAATATGTAAAAGAGAAGTGTATCATCAATTTGGAAGAGAAAAGTCGACAACCAACACATACTGATGATGAAAACTCAAAATGATAACTGCAAAAACCTGATCCTTTTTTTGGAAACGTAGAGGTAATTTACTTCTTGAATGGATGCTGGAGCTATAGGTATTTTTTATATGCACAAATTTTCGATAATTTCCTTGTATCAACCAAAGTAAAAGTATTGGTAAAGGACATCTTATGCGAATGAGAAGTGTATTAATTTGATTTCGTTAGGTCTTTATTTTGATGAAAGAAGATCATAAAACACCCTCGATGATTCATTGTTATTTATTTTACACGCCGTCATATAAATGGGTCGTTTGTAAAACGAAAAGCTGTAACAGGTTTCAGGTTATTATCTTTGTCTCCGTGTCCCAACACCTGATACCTTTAAATCTTGAGGGGTGGCCGTTACTGTTACGGCTGCTGCCACTCAACTACCGGCTAACCCTTTTTGGGATCAGAAATAATTAAAGCTACCGGTACATGCTCCCTGTCTCTCTCACACGCTGTTATTTGAGTTATTTGCCAACCCACGAGCCCCTAGTCAAGATATTTACTTGGTTGATGTCATCATCACTCACCAACCATTGAAATAGGAGTATTAAGGCACACACTCAGGTAATTTCTACCTGAATCTTTAACTATTGTAAGATGATAAAAAAAAAACCAAGAGAAACTGTTCTGTAGCACGAGCCATTTAGTGGGTAGGTAACTCAGGGAATAAAATTGGATCTTATTTGAATAATGACCAAGCAAACCATTTCATAGACGAGAAAAAGGTGAAAGTTGGAAGAAATTGATTGGAACTAGTTTATCACTTCCAAAAGCACTCAATCATTCGACTTTCGAAACAAATCGATTATGTCATATAAAACATTTATGGGTTTGTGAGAATATCTTTATTTAAATATGACGCAAGATGGAATTGGACTCAATACAAGTACTGTAGAAATCCCAACCACAAGGATTTTTGGTGGAGACGCCTGCCAGTCTGGATTTCATTATAAATTCTTGTCTGTTTCTTAGTTAATTATTGAAAAATTTCACAACTTTCATCCAATTTTTCAGGTAGTACTACATCATAACACGTATTTTGAAACAACACTTCAATTTGATGATATATACCACAACCGTTTTCGATAGGATAGAAGATTATTGGAAGAAAACTAACGCTCAACAACCACGATCCGGCAGCAGTCGACTTGGAAAAAGGAAAAATCCACTAGTTTCGGCGTACATTAACACAACTTGCACTTCAACTGGATTGCGGTGTACGAAAATTTGCACACAAGCAGATGGAAATATCAGAAGTAGAAGTTACGTTATGACGTTCGTGGCCAGTGTTAGTCAGTTGTATCTGGTAAAAGAGCATTGTCATGGATATAATTGTCTGATCGAAACGATACGAGTGACTGCGTTAAAACTGAGCAAAGTGGACGGCGCGGAAGCGTCGCGTCGACAAGAAGCAGGCTGAAGGTAACAGAAGAGGTAGAGCAGTAGTGGTGGTAGTAAATAAGCTGTGACAACAAGAAGGATCGCGTGGTAAAGAGATGAAATTGAGAGTGAAGTGGAAATTAGCCAAACCGACCGAATAATATCCGTGGATACGACGCGTTGTGGTGTCGGTAACACCAACCACGTGCTCATCAGAAACTTCTTTTCACATCTTGAAAACGACGCGCACCGACGACTCGATATGGCCCGGTGCCGACGTCGCCCCCTCCATGTCTTCGGTAACGCCCCTTGGCCTATCGTGACCCGAGTGTGAACCGGGGACCTCCCCGGCCCGCCCAGGCCAAGTCGGTGTCGGACGCGAGACCAAAAGGTCACTAGTAGAGGCTAGAGAGTACTGAGGGGATGACCTATCACCTCGGTCGCCACTGTACGTGCTCCTCTTGAGTCGTCCGTCTTCCGATCTCCGGAAATTTTCTTGAAAGTGACGACCTCGTCTCCGTGGCTCACGACGAGTGGCCAAAGCATGTGATAGCGGTCTCCACCAGCTGCTGACGATGGCCCTTGTTGCAAGCTCTTGGCGAGAGTCCCCGCTAGTCAACCCGATCCCGACCAGCTTGAACTCGCTGACCGGCGCGCTGAACCCGTTGCAGAACGCTCTTCCTTCGTCGTTGCCGACCAACATCAACCCCATCTCGGCATTACCGGCAGACAACCCTGCCGAACTGCCCATCGTTAATCGGCAAACGCCGTCACAAAATTCGCAAAATAGTGCCAATAGTGCCGAGAAAAACCAAAACATTGAGTGTGTGGTTTGTGGTGACAAAAGTTCCGGGAAACACTACGGACAGTTTACGTGCGAAGGTAAGTTCACATCACACAACACAGAACACCACTCTCCGGCTCTTTGATCACGCGCCAAAGTACCACCCACGACACCCCAAGCATTCTTATTCAGCTAATGAGCTACCCACGCCGTTAATCAAACATCTACCAATTATTTTAATTGATACCTGGAAACTTCTTACCGGTACTTCCTGAGACTGACCCTTCACCATTTATCTCACCTACCAGCCTACCTCATGGGCGATTACCTTTTTGAACGAGAGGAGACCAGAAAAACTATTTTGGCAAACGATAAACCTTAAGCAAGATTCAATATTCAGCATTAGTGTCTGACCATTGGTCTACCTCATTTCGTCACTAATCGTTTCTCAAACCAATTTCCACGGAGTTTCGCATCTACTGACCAAAAACTTTTTACGAGAAGGAAATGAGAAAATCCTTTTGGCGACACGCTAAAAACCTACCTAGTAGTAGTACCTACACTTTTACACCACTAACATTAACTTTAAAGACCGGGTGGTGTATCAGATTTCGTCACCTCATAACTCACTCATCATTTTCTTCTAAAATTCCCAATGTCATCATTGGTTCTTTACCCCAACGACCATAAACATTTACTCAATGAGAAGTAATCAATATCATCTCATCGACGATTTTCCTTGATAAATCTTCGTTGCCTTTCAAAGAAGAAATTGGCACACTTCAGTGAAATCTGGATGAAGAATTTTCTTTGATAATCATATCATAATTTCTTGTTCCTTATCCCAGATAAGGATGTAATGATGAATTGTCGAAATATAGTTTTAAATCGTATTTGAAAGGAAGCATTGGAAACGGCAGCTGAACATTTAGACTTTCATTTTCCGACGCTAAACTTTCCACTTTGCACAATATTGAAACCGAATTTTCGTAGATTGTTTCTGAGCCTGCACTTTATCTACTACATATCCAAACTTTTTGTAATGCAAAACTCATACAATAGCTCTGTATCGCTCCAAAACGTATTGGGAGAGACATCTAAAATTTCCACAAGGATCATTTAGAAGTCCTAAGAGGTCACAAGGGGAGTTATGGTGCCTTCCTTGCAATTTATTATCAGTGTAATGACCATGGCCATGAATGTATCTGTACAATATTAATTGTAATTCCTTTTGGCTACAATTACGTGAGCACAATCTTAACCAGCTATTCCATTGAGAATAACTGATCATTTCATGTGTATGTATCCAAATGGTACGTTTGGAAATCCAGATTAAATTTCTTATGATCTTTCATATTCTTGGATTTTATAATCTTTGTAAATACAAAGAAAATAAACACTATACTGACGTACAACTGAAAATCCAGAATACAATTTTCGCTAATTTCGTTCTGTCTCCATACGTGGATTTGAACCAGTAAATGGATGATAACTTCATTAACTACTTCAAAATTTAGGACATGGCTGCTATCATATTATTACAAGACAATGATTGTTATATTTGAAAATATAGAACATCGTTAGTATCCCTGATCTTCTTGGATTTGGAAGATAACTGTACAGATACATTTGAAAAATTAGAAAATAATTTTTGCTAAGGCTCTCATTACTTTTTCCTGCACGTGTAGGTATTTGGAAGATAACTCATTTACTTGATGGTGATACATTTCCAAATCTTGACAGTATCCCCGATTCATTGGTTTAGAAAATTTCTTTTAGGACAAACAGACGATAAGTTTATTGCTGAATTTGAAAATATAGGAGATAATTTAGTCCAATTTTATTGTCTTTTCTGGATTCAAGGCATAGAATTCTTGTATTCAGAAGAATTCCTTGGATATACAGAAGACAACTTTTTATTATAATACAAACATAATGTTTCGTGATGCATTGCTTGACCCCCTCCCCTGTTATAGCGCACCATAACATTTTACATGATCCTTACCCACCCCCAAACAACGTTACGTACCTAAGGGATCATTTCCAGTCCTTATATCTCCTATTCCTGAATTTGGAAGATTTTTTGGACGAATAGAAGATATCATTACTGGTATATCTGAAAGTCTACAATATGATGTGTGCCAATTTTATTATCCTCTCGCCTGAAGAACTCTCTGGTACAATAGGTGTTCATACTATAATACGATTATACACATTTTTTGTTTCTTTTGTTGTTTGGCCTGTGCGATAATGATTGTCCTTTTTTTATATTGGACCTTGTGATTTTTCTTTTTTTGTTCTCCGAAGAGACGGTCCCTTATTTTCCTCACGTGCTATGCCACCCACTTAGCCTCTCATCTATGTATCAGTTTTTAAGTTGCCTTTACCGTCGCATCTCTTCTCGACCATCTTCCACAAGACTATAATGCTATGTGGAAACCTGCTGAGATTCTAATTATACAGAACGCAACAAACCGACTTCAGCCCTCTAACTATCAGCTGCTATTTTGCTTTGCCTTCGGTTCTTTCAACCGTTGCATATACCGCAACTTTCACAATGCATTTGTTTTTCCCCGATTAAATGAGTCTTCTCAGATTTCGAAATGAAATACCATATAATGCAAATAACTACAAATAAAATCATCGGTAATTGTATCGATAATACCCCACATCTCCGATTTATTTGAAATTTCAGTATTTTGTGCAGTTGAGGATTTTTTATTCAATGAGGCCAGGTTAATTTCTTGTTCAACATCCTCACTGTCTTCATCATCGTAAGGTCGTCAGTCCTATGATTGATTGGACACGCACCTCCACTTTTTCCTATCCTGAGCTAATCTAATCTAATTTCCCCAAAACTAGAACATCCCACATCCTTAACTATTTGTGAACAGTAATCTAATCTAGGTCTACATCTACTCTTCTTAACTCCTGTTTCGACTTCTTATATGTCTCCATTTAGCCCTTCTTGCCTAAGAAGGTGTCCTACCAACTTATCTCTTATTGACTTCCATAGTGTTCTCTATTATTTCTAAAATCTCCTCATTTCTAATCCTCTCTATCCACAGTTTCCTCAACATACTAAAATTTCAACGAAACCAGAGAGGATGGGGTTTCAACGATACAATTTCCAAATTAGTTATCCCTTGCCTATATACAAACGTATCTGATAAAGTGAGACAAGAAATAAGTCTGAAATAAGAAGAAAGGAAGCCCTTGGCTATATATCATCAAATGCAAACTAAATACGTATTGATAATAATGATGGAGTTTTTTTATAATTAGCAATATTCTGCGTCGCGTAAATCATTTCTCAACAAGTAATGGATAAATTGCCTCTAATAGCTGATTGTAATATATTATATAAGTAAAGGTAATCTACGGCTGTACTGCAAGTATAATTGTGACTGAAAGCACACGTGACAGACTATTATACTACAAACTACATGTATACCTATCAGAAAAATCGAAAAGTGTACTCAAGTGTAATTAAAGGATCCTATCTTCCAACTGTATTGTGTGGTGATTTTACAAAAAAATCTTCTGTACCTTTCCTAGACTACATGACCCAAAATTAAACGATAGAAGCGAGAGATATTTTAAAATATCTTGGACCGTAAAATGCACGAGGGGTGGATCTTATTTCACACTTGAAAAGCATTGACTCCACCGTTATCCCCAAAAGGATGATGGTCAATATTTTCAATAAGAAGTAGAAGTCAATGAACAGGTGGAGTTTCGTCACTACGTAAACCAAGGTCATAGCCCACGAGATTCTAAACTGCCTCTACTGTACTTTTGAACCGCACTATACGCTAGTTAAAAACATTTCAGAACTCATATCATGAGGAATTCCAAGAAGCATTTCAGTTAATAAACCATGTGCAGCCATACGGCCGTTTTGCTTGCCATAAAATGGACTGGTTATTATAAAAACCGAAAGTTGCCCTCTTATATGCCGTGTTACCTGACCCACGTGAGTTTCAACCTGGCAGGTTATAGAAAAAAAATGTTGCTACAGTTCAAAGCTCATCATCCGTTGAGGTTTTACTACTACAACGGCTTCTGTCTTTCGTTAACTTAATTTTCTAGAAAATTATCAACTGCACTAAACGACATCACCTGTCCTATGTTTGCCTTTAAATATTCAATTAGATAAGAAAATTGTTGAGTATTTTTATACTGTTGTCCTAATTGAAATTGAAGGCATAGGCAAAGTTCCTATTAATAACATTCAATTAAATATTGTTGTTACACATTGACACAAGCATCAAACAGATATAATCACTGCTGTATGGAAAGTTTTTCTTGACGCTGGAATATTATGGATGAAATTTTGAAGTGATAAAGCTAGTGCAATTGGCACATAAGTCTATTATACGTGAGTGTAATCAGCATATGCCGCATACATTTGTGATTTATGATAACTGTTGATGATGTTGCCGCTATTGGGCATCGTTAAAATCAGTATTAATATTAATTTTATCAGCATCAGAATCCAAATCAAATTACTTAAACAGGTGTAAATTTATATTCCAACACATAATAAAATAACACTTAATACTTAAAATTTGTTGGTTCTCGGTATTTGCAAAAATATCAAAGATATTGTACAGAACTTCACCTTTCAATGACGCATCCAATATTTCCTAACAAGATTAAATAAAGGGGCACCTGCGTCTAACCCTCGGGGTTAAAGTTAACTTTCATCTGTCAAAAAGTTATTTTGTGTTGTCACTGAAACTTCACGAAAATTTCATTTCATAATACAAAATTTAACTTTTCAATAGAAAGTAAAAATGATTTCGAAGTATTAGATACACAATTAGTTAGTCTATTTGTAAATTGTATAATATCAGAAACATTAGACGGGCAATGGATATAAAAAACTCAGTCTTTTTACAGCACCAATATATATTCAAAGGATTTGAAAGTTTGCGTCTCATTGTCAATATAATTTAAGCATACTTACTTTAACCAAAAAGATAAAAACACAAATTATACCCTTACAGACGGAATATTTTCTTCAAAATTAAATGGAACCACCCTTGAGATGTAGCCCATCCAATAATAAAAAAGTAATCAAAATTGGTTCACAATTAGCAAAAAAATCGCCTAATATACACAACCAAAACACAGTCAAACTGAAACCCCTCTCTTTTTAGAAGTCTGTCGAAAAAAAAAAATTATTTCGTGATTACCTTTTTTTTTATACGACGGCAGTAATAATCTTCAAGATTTGAGTTCATAGTAATTAGTAAAAATTAATTTTTAATGGAGTTTTAATTTAGCTGTTAAAATGCAGATGCTTTAATTTACTGTTTTCTGCAAACGGGAATTAATTATTTTTTTGTCATCACCCGTTTGGAACTTCAGACCTAGTAGGGTAGGTGGAAAATATAACTTTTTACCGGGCTTGAGGGGAAAAAACCTGGATGCTATAAATTCGAAAAATTACCATAATGAATATTTATAAACAGTAACACTTTCACGCTGGTTTTAGTTTTCAAACGATACCTGTTTAAAATACGGTCAAAACAATTCAATGCATATGAAGAATTGTTTTCCTTTTTTAATTTATTTGTGCGAGTTATCATGATTAGATAACGGTGTAAAATTTTGAGCTTTTGAAGCAATCAGAAGTACCTAGTGTAATTAATGCTATTTGTCGTACATTCAATATGTAGGTACATCATAAATCGAATCGAACTTTAACGTTATGTTTATTTTCTGTCGTTATTATTGTAGGCTTAAAAAAGTTGAAAGCTTCTAAATGACGTGCCTCGTTGGCAAATAAAAACAGGGGGGTGCTACATTATGAACACACTAATTAAACCCGTCCTTTGGACGGATGTATACCGTTATCGATTGTATAGGGAAACCTTTGCTACAATAACCTAACCTAAACCCAAACCATTGGTCACTTTTAACTAAAACTTCCAATTAAAAGACAAAATTCTGGATTTTGGAAGTAGGGTCGTTGGTTACTTCCATCCTTTAATTAGACGTCTTAATAGTCAACTAGTTCCAGGCGTTACAAAAAGGATCACAATATTGCCTATGATGATCACTCCTGGATGGATTTCGTTTATCTAGTAGCACACCTAGCACAAATGCGAAGTAATCAATGAAACTTAATAAATACGAAATAGTTACCAAAATGTAGTACCTGTATATGCTGCATCCTGTAACGGTAATATAATTTGAGCTTGTTTTAAATTTTAAATAATGTCGACGTGTAGAACAATATAATCTATATGCGAAAGGCAGCATTTCTATCCTCTTTGGAAGACTATCAACTCAAAAGGAATCCTTACGAAGCATAATATTTCGTATGAAGAAAAAGTACGAACGAATAATATTGTTTCATTTCACATATGGTTTCAGTTCATTGAGCGAATACATTTCGCCGACAGATAAATGTAATTATGCATCAACTACTGACTTCACGTTTAACTTACCTAAATAGTTTGAAAGCAGAAAACAAATAACCAAAGGATATACCTACTGAAAGTAAACAACTAAATAAACCTTGCTAACCACTACTAAGTACTCTCTACATTTGTATGCCAGACGATACGCTTAAAGCAAAACAGTAGCAATTGATTGTCCTGAACTTTTACGATTAGAATTTTAAATATTGTATTATAGGTCAAATTTCATAGAAGGTTAGCACATTATTAAAAAAATCAGTTATCACAGCTTCCTTTAGAACCAATAATACTATTGCAGTTACTAATTCTTCCGAAGGCACTAAGTTTTATCATACCCCCTTTTGGAAACAAATTAGACTACTAAGACATTTTGGCATAGGTGTGCTACTTTAGCCATCACTAAGAACCACCCCTAATTACCCCGAAGAACTAAAACAGCACTACATTTTCATATGAATCGTTTGCAATTTTGTGATGTGGATGTGTCACCTTAACAGACGTATTTGTCATCTTTTGACAAGACTTGTTTATCATCATATATATTCAAAGGAGAAAAAAGTAACACCCTTAAAACAAATAACGATCTTAACTTTTGAGATAACCCCCTGATAATGCAGCAAAGCGTTTTTATTCGCTGCTCTTACGTTTTTGTCCTTTTTGTTACTCCAAGCATGTTGGAATTAAATAGAGTTTTCTATAGCTTTATTGCTAAAATGTTTTTATAAACGACCATTATTCTCACACCATTCCCCATGGTGTCATTATTTTTCTCCCGTGGATTATATCTTTCTTTTGAAGGGACTTCGCAACTTCAACAGCAGTCAAGTCAAAAAATGGATCTATTTCCTCCTCTGACATTTATAAAACTTACGTAACTTCTAATATAAAAAGACATCAAGGGCACATATCTTATTTAAATTGCACGCAAAAAATTTATTCATGAGTAATTATTACCTACAATTCGTTAACGTTTTCTAAAGACATCAAATATCATAAAACTGTTAGTGATTGCCTAATATTGTGTTCCGTTTTGTTTCAGGATGTAAATCATTTTTCAAACGAAGTGTTAGAAGGAACTTAACGTATTCGTGTAGGGGTAGTAGGAACTGTCCTATTGACCAACATCATAGAAATCAGTGTCAATACTGTCGACTCAAAAAATGTGTGAAAATGGGAATGAGAAGAGAAGGTAAGACACTTGCAGGTAAAAATATTATTAAACCATCAAACTTATTACATGCTACTTAAGGGTTTATAAAAATAAGACATCTACCTACATCGTTTAATAGGTAGTTACATTAAAACCAAATTAATTATGCTATACAAAAAGGATGGAACCAAAATTTATACAAATAGCAGTGCTTTTTGAAATTGCAAAATGGAAAATTAAATTGTAAAATAAAAAACCGTAAATGTACCAAAAAAATGTTACAAACATGGAAATATTGTTCATAGTCCAGTTTGTGATATGGTGCCTTTATAGACATATACAATGTAATTCATTTGCCAATTACAAATCAAATCCCAACAGACTAATTAACATTTAAAGCCTGTTTCGGTCGGTATGAAAATGGTAATAAGAACCTACATTAGTTGATAAAAATCATTAAAAGGTATTGGATGCGTTTTCCACCTTAGATAATAATTATAATTTAATGCTATATTTAATTGATATAGTCGACCTAAATGAAATTAATTCATAATGAAGCATAAATTAACAACAAATTTACCTTGGCACGTGCATGTGCATTTATCAAATCAATAAAAATTACAAGTATATCTATATAATGCCCATCAGCCATTCAAAGTTCAATATGGAGGAAAATGGTCCATTCGATCAACTTAAATAAAACCGTCTATTTATATTAAAAAACATTTTGATATTCAAAATTCAATATACAGGAGCATGGCCCTTTCAAATAACTTACTTAAAACCGTCTATTTACGTTAAAAACATTTTTCTATCATTAATCATTTAATTTACTAGACGATTTTCCGCCATATTTAGTTTCACAGATAGGAATGACTAAGCACGCTTCATATCGTTAAAGAAATAGCTCACCTACCTGCACAAAAGCTTTAATCAGCAAAGTCTCACTAGCACTTAGTTTTTTGTCTTATGAGTTCACACATCACATTACCACTTCGATACGATCAAAACCCGATACTTAATTAGTTATTGTTAATCAAATAATCCCATCATTATTTCACAAAACGTGTTAACACAACCGACACCGCTATCACTCACGCCTACAATAAAGGGCTAAAGAATCAACTGCAGCTTTCAAACAAGTGATCCTCCTAGTCACCTTTAAGAAATCTGTACAATTCGCCGAATTTATTGTTTACTGTGGTGATTTTATGACAGCAGTAAAATCAGCTAGATGACGTTGTTGAAAAAGTGTCAGTATAGTTTGCCGGGTTTATTTTCAAACGGAAATAAATTTGCACAAGAACCTAATCTAATTATTCTTATAACAATATGATAGTGTTTGTTGTGAAAATTAAAAAAATATCTAAAGAATATTTTGGTTCGTTCTTTAGGAGCAAATAATAAAATATTCCTAAATAATAAATATGTACACAAAAATACAGGTAGCCAAAAATATAAAATAATCATTAGAAGGAAGTAAATAGTTTGTTCTACTTTTATTAATAAATAAAAACAAATACCTAAATACAT